AATATAAAAATTATTTTCTACAATAATCTTATCAATACAAACAACATTCATATATACATATATATATATATATATACACACATATATTTGTATTGATACGCTTAAAAAAAATTATCGTTCATTATTTTGCTTATATCGAATAAGTAGAAAAGTATCTTTTGCGGATATGAGAGAGAGAGAGAGAGAGAGAGAGAGAGAGAAAACGTGAAACGCGAACGCGAATCCGCGGAAATCCAACTTCCCGTTGCTGCTCTTCATTTTCCTTGAACTTCTTTTTTTTTTTCTTCTCTCGTTTCCCTCGTACATGGCGTACGATTTAAATGAATTTGCATAGACTTTCCATTTATTTGTCCGCCGGTCCGTTTATTGCATATTTATCGAAACCAGTGAGAAACTAACGGCGATAAATTTCAATTCGCCCATCGGCCGAAGCCGACGCGGACGATGGGATTTAATATTTATACGTTTCTTTCTCTCTCTCTCTCTCTCTCTCTCTCTCTCTCTCTCTCTCTCTCTCTCTCTATTTCTCTGATGTGGACTGCGTTCGCGCGCACGCAATACTCTTTTACGCGACTTTTCCTTGAGGTTCATCTTTTATCGTTCGACCTTCTCGATCGGCAGCCACGAGGAAATTAAATGAATACACGGGCAAAAAATTTTACTTAACACGTTAACGCGTTTCTTAAAACGAATAGCATGAAGTAGTCAACAACGAGTTTGTAAATTTCTCGATAAAGTCGTTTGTATTATTAATTTAATTCTAAACTTGATTTTAAACGATTTAAAAAATAGAAGAAGAAGAAAAAAAAATTATATATATATATATATATATATATATATATTATTATTATTATTATTTAGAGACAAATTTATTGTATCTGAGATTTTTCAGAGTGATAAACAATTTGGAGGATTTTTTTTGAAACATCTCAATAAATACGGTATAATTTTTCCAAAAATTTTATTACTTAAAATCATCAACCATAATTATAACTTTATTATCAAATGTTATAAGACAAAGGATAAGAGAAAATCATTAGAAATATTTCGTTCTAAATGAAATCACATAAAAGAAAAATCATTTAGAGTTACAAGAAAAAGGAAATTTATTTTGATATAAGAAAGATCGATTAAATGAAGAAATTTTGCAGTTTCAGAGAGCGTATTCTCCGCTGCTGTTGGCGTTGGTGTTGGTGGATACACCTGGGGTGCTCCCACGCCACCCCCTGGATCACCCTACAGCCCTGTCCCTGTGACTCAGCTTGAACTACTCGCCAAGAATTTGGCGAGTTTGGCGCCTCCTGGTCAACAGGCATTGAGCCTTCAGGGTGTCGGTGTTAATGTTGGCAGTCTTCATCATGCGCAGCATACTCAGCATACGCAGCACACCCTCAATCTTGCTGGACTTCATCATCTGCACCATGGTGAGCAAACGACATTATTGATCGCAAGTAATACCTTTTACACGAGGGGGTGTTGTCACTTTTCATTTCAGATTGTTGTCAATTTTCTTTCTCTGTTTTTCTTTTTTCTGTTTCTTTTGTTTTTTTGTTTTTTTTTTCCTTTTCTTTAAGAGAAACACAAAGAAAAATAATTAATGTCCTTCACTTAATTCCAACGATTATTCGCATTATTTGTTAATCGAATGATTTTTAATTACTTTTCCTTCTTTTTTTTTTTTTTTTTTTTTTTTGCCCGCTCTTGACATCGCTCGTAACACGTTCTCGCACATATATATATATATATATATATATATATATATATATATATATAAGTTTTATTTAATACGTGCAAAGACAAATTTTTAATAAAACTTTCTCATCGAAACTTTCTTTTACTAATTAAACGAAGTATCATCGTCAAGAGGTGAGTCAAGAGTTTTAAAGGAACTTAATGTTATCGCGTCAGATATTATATCATATCATGCAAGGGATTGAATTATTAATAAAAAAAATATGATATAAAAATGATCATTAAATAAATCAACGTAATTGTTTTAACAGTGACAATGAACGATTAGAGTCAAAAATAACTGACAAAGAAAAATGCAAATTTATTCGAAGTTAGCCAGAGAGAAGATATATATATATATATATACATATATACGATCGTCGAAGTATAAGAGGATTAAAAGTGTTTTTCTTTCCTTTTGTTTTTTTTTTTCCTTTCTTTCTCCGCGAAAGAAGGTCTACATCAGAACACTTTCTCGCCCCAACTCTCCCTGGTGACCGGTAACGCTCCGACATTGACGATCAATAGCTTTTCGCCAAATTCGACGGGTAACGTTGTGCCGACGACGGGGGTGTTGCTCCAGGAGTATCAGTCACCGACAGGCTCGACAGCCACCGGTTGTTCCGTCGCAGTGAACGGTTCCTCATGTCCAACGAGTTCGACGAGTAGCACGATGGTCGTCCAGGGTGGCAACCAGGTTGTCCAGACTACCGCGAAGAAACGAGAAGCCTTCCTCTCGAGTCAAGGTCAACCGGTGAAACTGGAGAACAAGTCGACGAGGCAGCCCTGCGTTTGCAGGAACAGCAACGGTATGTAAGCCTTCGTTTCTTTCATTCCTTCTTTCTTACTATCTTTCTATCTTTCTTTCTTTCTTTCTTTCTTTCTTTCTTATTCTTTTATTTCATAGATACGTCTCGAGTTCTAATTTAATTTTAAGATTGAGGAAAGAGGAAGCTCATTTCGATCGTATTGATATCCCTCGAATTTATCATTAAACATATCAAACGTATTATATAATTATATATATATATATATATATATATATTTATATGTATATATATAATCAATATATTTCTAATAACTTTTTCTCGTTCGTTTCGTATGATGAATTAAAAAGTATTAACGTTCTCGTATTAAAACAATTCAATGAGAAATCGTTTAATTTTGAAAAAGGTTATTTCATTTGAAAATAGTTACCGACAAATCTCTTGCACATGACACGGTAACACGGGCACAAAGCAAACAGAAGGAGTTCCATGTTATTTGCATTTGCGATTCGTCGATTATCCGACGGAATCGAATATCCGGAAATTTTTTTTAAAAATATATAATAATACAGGAGAAAAGTCAAGATTAACAATGAACATATCATCGATTCACTTTTAACAATTACGAATATATCGTTTGATTTCGATCGAAATTTTCAATTGGAACACGTCGGGATACACATGTACCAACATACATATTAGTTGATAGCCGCGAGGCGTTATCGACGAACCTGTTACGTGTCTCGTAACGCCATGAAGAGTAGAGGAGTAGGAAGATGAGACTTGTACGGGCTAGAAGTTAGCCATCGTTGTTGATGCAATTGACGACCTTGAAGTGAACTCCCTCCGGGAGGCTTCTACTCTAAGTCCACGTCAACTGTACTACTACGAGAGGAAAAAGAGATAGAAATCGAGAAAGAAAGAAAAGAAAAAGAGAGAGAGAGAGAGAGGGAGAGATGAAAGAAAGAACAAAAAAAAGATAAATAAAAAGGAAACGAAAAAGGAGAGAAGGAAAAAAAAGGACAGAAAGAGACGAGGCGCGGAAAAGAGAGAAAAAAAGGCAGAAATGTGTATACGTGTAGGAGAGACAGAAAGAGAGAGAGAGAGAGAGAGAGAGAGAGAGAGAGAGAAAGAGACGACTGAAAGAGTGGAACAGAAAGAGATAGCGAGTCTTACGCAAGATTCTCTCGCTTCTATATTTACTATGCGAGAGACGACTCGTTTCTCTGTCTTTCTCTCTCTCTCTCTCTCTCTCTTTCTCTCTCTCACTCTCTTTTTCTCTCTCTGTCTCTCTCCCTTCACGTTTCTCCTTGGTGTCTCCGATGCCAGTTTTACGCTTCGTTTCCATGAATCATTCCTTGGCCACCAAGTGACGTCGATACTTCCCACGAAAACCAGTCCTTACCTTCGTAGAAACTCGGCAAAGACTTTTGTGGAAGAGGTCCTGAAATTCTTCCTTCTTTCTATCTTTCTTTCTTTCTTTTTTTTTTTTTTTTTTTTTTTTTTAGTTCTCTTCATTTTATTCATTTATTTATTTATTTATTTCTCTTTTTTTTTTCTTTTTATTTCACATCAACAGGCAATAGTGGAAGTCGAAGAATATGTTCTTGAATTGAGATTACGTTTAAACGATACAAAAATTAATTTTTTTTCTTTATCTTATTGATAAATTTAATCGATTATTATAGATTAATTATTATAGGATACTAATGTATAATACGTGAATTATTTAACTGGTTATAATAATTAATTGGAATGTTGATGGAATCGATTATTGTTTCAAATCGACGATATCGATACGATACTTTGTTAATAACAATTTAATTTATAAAGGAATAATGTTAGGTATTAAAAATTTCATTTGAATTTTCTAGGTAAAACGAAAGTGGTTCATTCGGATGCAGGCTGTAGCAGGACGTTGCCCGTCGCATCGTCCTGGAATGGACAGGATGCGAATAATGGCGTTAATTCTAATACGAACAATAATAGCCTCGTGAAGAGAGAACCTTTGGCCTCGGTGCCATGTCAGGTTGCAGAGGTTTCGACCTCTCTTCATGCCACCACTACCTCTGTTAAGATCGAGCCGGTTCCTCCGAAATCGGAAAATGGTGAGATAATGTTTATTATTTTCAATGAATTTCAAAAATAAATCTGTCAGATCGTATCTTGTATAACTTGATTGGATTTATTTAATTCTAAATTGTACATATTCATAATCAATTAAAATAGTAATTATCAGCTTGTAAAATTGTTTATTATAAATTATTATAGATAATGTTGATTATTTTTCTTATCGTGAATATTGTTTATTATATAATTATTGTAAATTATCAAGGGTAAACATAATTATACGAAGTTCATTGACAAAGAATATTTTCAATCGATCAATTTTCAATTGATCAATTTTCAATTGATTGTACTATATGTTTACTGAGTGTACATAATGTATAATAGATTCTAATCAAAATATATATATTATGAAGTATGTAATAATTTATAGAAAAATTCAAAACTTTTAAAGGCATAATTCGTTGATTGAAAATTTGATCGATTATTCTAATGATGAAATTTATGACGGAGTGAATAAAATCGTTAGAGAGATACGTGAAATTTTTGATTTAGTTTCTGTATATGTAATGCATACATATATCTATATATACATATATATAGCCACTATATATATATATATATATATATATATATATATATATATATATATATAAAACATGTCGATTTTATTAAAACTTCTGACTTCAATTAATATATATGTTTACAAGCTCCCTCATTTCCGTTATTTGTTATTTGAAAATTTTTTTTTTTAATTACCATTCGAAAGTTAATTTAGTTGTATACGGATTATTTTCGAATATTCGTCACGCGAGTGCATTCACCGGCTCGTTATTGAATGTTTGACCCGAGTCGGAAGAATAAGTTAATGACCGTCGATTATTTGTAAATCATTTACATCGACGGTTAATTGCTCGTACTATCTCACCGCATCGGCCTTTCATTCTTTTCTATTTTTCCTTTCCTTTTTTTCTTTTTTTTTCTTTTTTTCTTTTCATTTTTTTCCCCCCTTTCTTTTCCTTTTCCTTTTTTTTTTCTTTCTTTTTCTTTCTTCTTCTTTTTCTTTTTTTTTCTTTGCTCGGTGCTGTTAACGACCAGAATCGATCGTGAATTTTTGTTGGCTTCCACGTATAGAAGCTTTTGTCTCGAATCAACGATCAACGATGTGCGACTAGTAGTTCGCCGAGAACTCACTGTCAGAGTTATTAAATAATAACAACATTACCAAGCGAAATATTCCAAAATTTTCTCGAATTGCTTGAGAAGTGGTTTCTCCTCAACGTTCCCTCGGAAAAAAGTTTCTCGCTTGAAAATCAGCTTTTTCCCGGTCGTTAAACGTGTAAAAAGAGAGGGGCAAAAAAAAAAAAAAAATAGAAAAAAAAATTCCGCAGGGCAGAACCCGAGAATTATCTTATGTACGATCTGTGCTTGAAAACTTACTTTAACGACGGCACTAGCGTTATGTGTTCGTAAACTACCTTTCGTTGTCGTGAGAGAGCCGTGTGTTACGTATGTATCGTGCTATCATAGGCAAAAGAAAAAAAAAAGAAAAAAAATGCTTGCTCTTGTCCATAGCTCTGGTAGAAAATTTCAAGAATGCATATTATGAAGCTTCTTTCTCTTTTTTTTTCTTTTTGTTCTTCTTTTCTTTCTTTCTTCTCGTTTTTTTTTTTCGTTTTTTTTTCCTTTTTTACTTTTTTTTGAACCCTACCACGACGATTGACAATTGGCTGGGGTGGTTGGAGGGGGGAGAGGGGGGCGGGAGGAGGAGGAAATGAAATTCATGAGTTCGTGTTTTAAAGTTCGGAGATATGTTTGATCAAAATTATTGATATAACGATGGGTGGCAGAGAGGCGGGAGGGTGGTGGGTGGTTGGGTGGGGGGAGGGGAGGGGGAAATGGAAAGAATTAAAAGTAATTCGAGTGTTCCTTTCTTTATAAATTTGACTGGAATATCGAAAACGCTGTGATTACACTTGCGCGTGGCATTGTATTCGCGAGTATTCGCGAAATATTGATTATCGCGTACGGTCAAATACAAAATTCATTTCCATCGTTCGGCTTTTTATTATATAGATTTTAATGGGGTGAGCTCTTTGACGGCGGGGTAGAAGGGGCTCGGGAGGGGAGGGGGTATGGAGTAGAGAGGTCAGGTGGTCGAGGAGATGCAGTTTACTATAGAGGTACGATTTTCATCGATATGCAATTAATGCAAAAATCACAGTTCCGTAACTATCTGACTGAAAGAGAAGGAGAAAGAAAAATCTTTCTCTCTTTCTCTTTCTCTCTCTCTCTCTCTCTCTCTTTCTCTCTCTCTCTTTCTCTTTGGCGATACAATAATCGAAGAGAGAGAGAGAGAGAGAGAGAGAGAGAGAGAGAAATCCCATTGGTACTGCTTATCTGTGAATATCGCGAGGACTTAAACCGTGCCTTTATACCTACGACCGTTCGATTGGCCATAATCCTCTCCACGAATCCTGCAACGTAGGGAGTATTTTAATTGGCCAATATCCCGATATCCACGCGCTTATTCCTCCTCGTTTATCGTTCAAATCGCGCGCGAATCATCGGCTTCTATAGTCGGTTGAAAATCTTCGACAAAAGAAACAATTGATCCCTAATCGTTTCAGTAAAATCAAAAAAGATTGCGATTTGTATCTACGATAATACGAATATCGGAATCGTTCATGAAATAGTTCGCTGCAATTTTTTGCTCTTTTATTTCTTTTTTCTCTTCTTTTTTTTTTTTTTTTTTTTTTTTTTTAATTATTATAATCAATTTCGATATAATTCAAAGTTACGTATTTCGAAACAACGATTATTGGCGGTCAAAAAGTTATAGACTTTTCGATTCATTATTAAAAAAATGTTTTATTCGAGATATGAAAATTATATTGGAAAATTAATTGTTAATTAAAACAAACGAATAAAAAAGAGAAAAATAGTTCGTATTTGTTTTTATCCGTGATATTATGTATGACTAAATCGGGCAAGCCAAATGGATATTTTGATCCTAATGAAATACGTTGACAACGTGATAAACGCATAAGCAGTTCGTTGTAAGTAAAATTTGTGAAATGGGAAAATGCAAGGTAATTGTAGAGAATTCGTGGTTGAAGAAAGAGACGAGCGAGCGTAGGATGCGTCCTATTCGTTATGCATTTGTTCCCCGGAAACTCTTCTCTCTCCGGTGTTTACCACGCCGGACGTTTTCCCGGGGGATTGCGGATCTGTCATTTAAAAAAGAAACGCCCGGAATAACTTATACGCTTGGCTTAGTCGCTTGGCTTACTCTCCTATCGGATGCACCGTATGCACGGTGCATTAGTAAGTTATTTTACGGGGATAGGAATACGTTGAACGAATGAAAATTATGATGGTGACGTCGAATATATAGAGAGACAGAGAGAGAGAGAGAGAGAGAGAGAGAGAGAGAGAGAGAGAGAGAGAGAGAGAGAGAGAGAGAGAAATGATCGACGAGTCTTGTCAAAAAATATTTTCATTGGTTTGATATTTTTTGTTTTGTATTTATTTTATTTCTTTTAACAGTTATTGACTTGAAGCGATATACATACATACATACATACATACATACATACATACATATATATATATATATACAAATTATATGAATTATTCTCTTTAACTCGTTCACACCTTCATAGTTTTTCACGTGCATATGTATACACTCGCACACTATCTTCTTGTCCTCTCTATTTTTCTTTTTTTTGTTTTTTTTTTGTTTTGTTTTTTGTTTTTTGTTTTCTTTCACGCAAGCGTGCCACGTAGTATCACAGCTGCCAAACGATTCTAAAAGTACGTTGAAGGTAAAATGAGTATGAGGAAATATAATTGAATTTCCTTGCTTTTCTTTTCCTTTCTACGAAAATCGATTTTCTCTCGATTTGCCTCGACCTCTAACTCGATGACATCCGTCCATCCATCCATCCATCCATCCTATTCTATCCTTTTTCTTGCTTTCTTTTTCGATCCATCGACACGCTTAAAGAATAGACGGACGCGCGTCTTTAAAAGAATGTTAAAGAAACCACGAGAATTCAGTTCAACACGTTTCTTCTACGTTTCATCGTTTCAACTATAGACGAATGAACGCAATCGAGTTACGAACAAAGATTCCAATTGCTTCTATTTTATTTTGTTTCTTTTTTTTTTTTTTGTTTCTTCTTTTTTGTTTGTTTCTTTCTTTTTTTCTTCTTCTTTTTTTTTGTTTGTTTTTTTTTTTTTTGTTTTTTTTTAAGCGACATTAATACATCAGGAATAAAGTAATTTTTTATCTTTCTTCTTCTTCTTCTTCTTGTTCTTTTTATATCTATGTTACTCTCTTCATCGTTCGTAATTAAATTAGAACAACAAATGAGGATTTAATGATATACGATGATCGTAAAGAAGACTTATGTTAAGGAGACAAAAAGAAAAAAGAAAAGAAAAAAAAAACAAAAAAAGAAAACAAAAAAAAAGAAGAAATGGCATAATCGAAACTGTCGTTGTAATTATCGCTTAACAAAAGATAAGAGATTGATGATAATATATCGATTTTTACATTCAAATTTGCGTAATCATCAATGCACGCACTCGCACTCTCGCAAATGATATTACAAAGAAAAACAAAATTTATAATAATTAAATAATTAAATAATTTGCGATAATGCACATTTATCGTTGAATTTCTTTTTTTTTTTTTCTTTTTTCGATAATTCGAAGTAATTCAATTGAGAAACCTTATTCTTGGAACAATAAGTTAATTATTCTTTCGTTTGGCCTTTAAATGGATACTTTCGTTAAACGTCTCTGAAATTGGAGAATTAACATCTCTCTAATTATCTTCAATTTATAATTCACGAGATAGATGTTTTCGAAAGGAAATCTCTCGCTCTTTAGCCTTTCTCTCTTTTCTTCTTAGAAAGGCACTCGCGTGCTTCCATCCGAGCGCTCGTTTCGATAGACGAAACAAAGGCTCGTAAGAGAGTTCTAAGATGTTAACCAACGATTTCTCTTCTCGAGTCCCTTCTCTCGTTGCTTAAAGTACGTACAATACGCGTGTAACCCCTTTATCCACGACGTTAGACATTCTTCTATATATATGTACATATGTACAATACATATATACGAGCATACAAATTCACGTAGTAGCATAGACGCTACGTTTTAAGTTCTCTCTTTCTCTCTTTCTCTCTCTCTCTCTTTTACACACACACATACACACACACACAACACATACATTCACTCACGCATACTTTCATCGTGATGTTGTATTACACTTGAGAAAAGGCTCCCCTTGAAGTTGCCCTCCCATTGGTCGACCACGCCAACATTCAACCCCCTTCGTGGCTTTTCCTTCCCCTACTATGTCACGAAAAGAAATTAATCGAGCCACCGAAATACGTCAGTCTCGACGATCAAAGCTTATGTACGTTGGAATGTACGCTTATTTACGATGAAAGAAGAAATTAAAAAAAAAAAAATGGAGTCGACATTTTCACACCGATCATTATCCTGATGACACTTTGTATCAAACAAATGAACAACAGTATTTAATCGATCGATCGTTTCGATAATTAACATTGAAAATAAATATCTTTGATCAATTGTCACCGAAAGAAAGAAATAATTTCACTGTATGAATATTTTTTCGTATTCTTAAGTATAGATTTTTCTGACATTACGAATTCTTATTTCTTATATCTCGATGATTTTCTTTCATGATAATAATTAAAATCATTATTATAACGATGTAAAAGAATAATGAAACGATAAATGTACATTTATTATTTCAATAAGTATAGGATATATTATTGAATAGGTATAATAATCGAGCGTTACTCCCATGACAAGGGACTATAGTCAGAGTCGTGGTAGCGAAAAGGTTAAGTAGGAGGTGCGTGGCACGCATGGCGACGCAAACACAAGGCGTGGCTCGAAAGAGTCTCGACCCTACTACGTCTATCCCTTTTACTCACATTTACACCCACGATGTATATCTTAGTCGACGAACCGCGGCTATGTCCGCGAAAACTCTGGCCTATCACAGCTAGGACGGAACTTACAGACACCCCGTATTACGAATGGAACGAATGTAAAGTTTTAGAAACTGTTCCTGTCTATCTATGTTTGTATATATATATATGAGAGAGAGAGAGAGAGAGAGAGAGAGAGAAAGAGGGATGAAAAATATGTATCCATTTATCGTAGAATTTGGAAATATTGAGAGCTTTAGAAGTTTCTCATTTTCATTGAGTTCTTCTCTTTCGATCTGTTTTATACTCTAAAAGATTATTTGAAAGTCTTCCAATTGAAAATGAGCTTTATGATCGTAACTTGACTCGATTCCAAAGTTTGAAAGTGTCAGTATAAATATAGTTATTGTTTCTTCTTTTCCCTTCTTTCTTTCTTTCTTTTTTTTTTCTTCTTCTTTTTCTTTTTTTTTTCTTTTTTTTTTTTTAAATAATTTCATCGGATAGCGTTATCGAGGGCATACTTTATTCTTGTAAAAGATTTTATAGATTATAGTAATCTGATTGGATCAGATTATATCAGAGATATTTTTAGAACGGATCAAAATTTTCGTGTGAATGAAAATTTACGATGATTACAAAAGATTCGCTGTAAATAAAATTGATGATAGTTATTATTATTATTATTATTATTATTATTATTATTATTATTATTATTATTATCATCATTATTATTATTATTAATATCTTTGTTTCGTCGTATTGTTCCAGGTATAGTGGTATCGAATGCGAACGCAGGTGGAATACCAGTTGGAATTGCAATGGCAAGACAGAGATCGCAACATCAGGAAACCTCGGCGTCCATGCGGAATGTCTCCCTCAGTCATCATACGTCGCATCATGCAAGTTATCATCACTTTCAACCTGACAATCTTGGTGAGTATATTACACAAATATACCTTACCCGTATATATATATATATCTACTGTATGTATATATATATATATATATATATATATATATATATATAAGCATCAAAATTTGCCTCTAATATAGTGTAGATAACATAAGCATGCTCGAAGTGATTAAATTGATTTTCTGTCATTATGATGTTTAATAGTGCTTTCAATGTAGTGAGGATACATAATAATCGAAAATGTTTGGAAAGATAATTATGATTTATAATTTTGAAAAGTGAACGTGGTACAGATGAATTCGTTGCATTAATATCGAATGAAGTATCTGTTTAGTATGATCGTACAGGGAAAATCCATTGGAAGGAAGAACTCATATGGAATAAATATCAATATATATATATATATTTATGTATGATGAATTTAATTAAATATTTGAGTAGAATTCATATAAAATGAATCAATGAAAATCTATATAGATATTAGTAAATTCTATTTCATTCAAGAACGTTTTTACAATAAAATTCGTGTCGATGTTTTTCGTGTTTGTCTTAATTCTTAAAACTCTCAATTTCTCTCTTTCTCATATTCATTTAAGGATCCTTTTAATTATGAACTTTTGATAGAAATAATAAGAAAATTTGAAAATTGATGTCCATTATGATCGATTATAGTATTGTTATAATTTGTAGAAAATATTATGTTTGTTAGTTCGTTAGTTCGTTCTTTTGAAAGAGTATTCGCAAGTACAATGCGTTTTGTACGCGATCGTATAGAAGGGATAAGCGTTATCGGATACACGGCTGTTTTCATTTGAACCAATGTGCTGAGGCATCGGCATTCGAGAAGCGGCTCGAACATCTGGGCGGAATATTAACGAGGAACGACGAAGAGGGGGATGCGGACATTCTTTCGAAATGCCTCTTCCGTTCCGCGAAGGGTAAAACCGATTGCGCGCTATCAAATCATCCGGCAAATTTTCATTCCGACGTTTTATTCGAATTCTCCAGAAATATTGTGAGTCCGACTATAGACAGATATGATAATAAAAGATAAAGTTTATTATAGAAATCTTAAAGACATTTATTCAATATATTTATCTATTGAAAGATATACATTTTATTGATCGGAATAAATAAACAGAAAAAGCAAAAGAAACGAGAAAGCAAATCAAGAAGAGATAAAGCTTAAATATTATAATAATATTCAAGCTTTATCTCTTCTTCATATGTATTAGCGGAGATTTCTTGGAAACGTTAATAAATGAGAAAAAAAAAAAAAGGAAAAAAAAATATATATATATAACTACTTAAGCGTGTTTACAAGTCTAATGAATAATTATATTTTGATTATCAGTAATAAAATAAAGAGTAAATAAAATATAATATCTATGATAAGAAAGTTATGTCAAAGCGGAAAGATGGAACGTAAATGAATGAAAAAAAAAAAAGAAACAAAAAAAAAAAAGAAAAAAAGAAAAGAACAGAAAAGAGGAACTAAGGGTAAAAAAAAAAAGGTAAAAATCTAAGGCTAGTAAGGAAGAAATTAAAAGACTTATTCATAGCGTATAATCTCAATTCTTGGGGTCGATATGGTATCGTTTCTCGCAGGCTCGTTTTTCGCTTCCTTCGTGCCGGCGCGTAGAATGACAGTAATTTGCACGAGCCGGGTAATTTTCAGAGTGCGCCGAGTCTCTGTGGTAATTGACTGTCGCCGATTGCATATGCAAATATCGATAATCGAAGCAGCCTTACGACTCGATGCCAATGATTGATGTTCCGCGCTCAATAGCGAGCAACGCCGAGAGATCGGGACAGGAATTTCATCGACAGACAATAATTAGATATAGTCGAGCTTAGATATAGTCGAGTCGCTTGAAAAGTCGAGAGAATTTTCAAAGAGAGAGATAGATAGATAGATAGATAGATAGATAGATAGATAGATAGGTAGATAGAGAGAGAGAGAGAGAGAGAGAGAGAGGGAGAGAATATTAAATCATGTATCTATATCTACAACTTATTTGCTTCGTCAGAAAGAGAGCGACCTCTTATCGATTTTCTTTGAATTCGAAAATCTCACAAAGTATTCTATGTAATAGTTCATTCAATGATGGTATTTCGAAGTATTTCAAAACAAAAATAGGGAGAGAGAGAGAGAGAGAGAGAGAGAGAGTGAGAGAGGGAGAGATTTTCGTTCATCGATAATAAAAATATTATCGATGCTAGAAAAGTTCGTGAAACATTCCTTCAAATTAAATGAAATTCTTTTATAGATTTAGGAATATTTGATAATATCGAGTTCTTTTGCCCTTTGTGATTTCTTACGTAACGATAATAATTATTATATTGTACGAAAAAATCGATAAATAATTATCCATTATGATGACCGATTGAATCGATTATAAAAGATCACTTGAAATTATTTTTTGTTATTATTATCATTATCATTATTATTATCTATTGCTATTATTATTATTATTATTATTATTATATATTATTATATAACGTAAAAAAGAGTAAAATAATGATGAATAGTAAAGAATTGTTGAAGCTATTAATTCAGTTTCGAAAGAGTAATGGAATTAGTCCCATCGCTAGTTTGGGCCCTGTCGTCAGGTTCATCGAGTACAGCCATGACGGTAGGCGGCGCTACGCTCGTCCACTGTGGCGGAGGTGGTGGGGAAGAACGTCCGGCCCACCTCGCCATTCCTTCGGGTGCTTTGGCGCCCTCGTTGAACGCGGCCCTCGGTTCGAGTCTCGGCCCGAATCTCGGCCCGAGTCTTGGCTCCGGCCTGAATTCCACCTTGAATTCCAGCTTGAATTCCACGCTCGGCAGTACCGCAACGGCCGCGGCCACTACCGCGTGGCCTCCCACGCTTTGGCAGTATCCGGCCTCGGCCGCGGCCGCTGCCGCCGCTGCTGCCGCCGCAGCTGCAGGTAAACTATCTTTATATTATTATTATTGCGCTATCTCCGTTTATATATATATATATTATATATATATGTATATATTATATATATATATCAATATCTTTTGTCTATTTATCTATCTTTCTTTCCTTCTCGCTTTTTCATCATTTCGTGCCAATACGATTTCTCTTTTAACAGAGCCAAATATTATCAATAATGATGGATGAGTTTGTCTTATAACGCATATTAATTATTTATACAAATGTAAAAAGAAATTATATTTATATTTAGATATATTGTCTTTGAAATATCGGCGTTACCAATCGAATGATAATAATAGTGAGCGGAATAATAATATTTGGCTCTGGTTTCATTTTAGCAATCTTCTTTTCGCGTGTCTCTCTCTCCGCCACGAACTTTCTTACCCTTTAAATCGACGACAACCCTCCGTTGACCGACTGACATTTCAAAACGCGATAACTTCGCTCTATGCTCACGTCTGGGCTGAAAAATTCATAAGCCTCACGAGACCGTTTACCTTTATCTATTCGATTTCGAACAGGGTCGTTACTATCTCCATTCGCCGATAGTCGATTAAAGGTCTCGTTTGAATTTGGACGTTTTTCGTTCCGCGTAGAATGATTTGTGCTTTGTTTTATAGCGATGCCCATGGAACCCGTAGGGTTCCCACAGATGGGTGTCGGTGTGCAGGGAGGTTTGCAGTTGGTCAGAGATCCATCCAGCGGTCATCTTCTTTTAATTCACGCAGCCGGTACGTTTAATAGCTATTTTTTTTTTGATCTTCCTTTGATTCTCTTCATATTCTTTTTTTTTTTTTTTTTTTTTTTACTTTATACATATATTTTTTTAATTTTTATTATTATTATTATTATTACTATTATTATCATTGTCATTATTATTATTATTATTATTATTATTATTATTATTATTATTATTATTATTATTATTATTATTATTATTATTATTATTATTATTATTATTATTATTATCATTATTAATATCATTTATTTGTCTTGAAAAATATTTTGCAACGTGTGCGTAATGCTGTTGTAATACGTGTGCATAAGAAAGAAAAAAAAAGTGAAGAGGGAAGAAAAAGAAGGCGGAAGAGGGTAAGAAACGAATGGTTTTTCAACAGAACAAATGCAGCAGGCTGTGGTCTGGCCGAATTATCCAAATCACAATGGCGGAAACGTAGCACCCCCGTCCCTTTTGTTACCGCCGCCACCACCGTCCCTTCAACTTTTAAGCGACATAGGCGGCGCTAGATTGGTCCTTACCGAGAGCAAAAGAAAACAACAGAGCACTTTGCCGATCGTCAAGATCGAGGCGGATTGTGGTACGAGTCCGACAACCATAATAAGTAAGTAAAGTCGAAATAAGTTTAGAAATAAGTTTCAAAGGATATACGAACGAATTTTGAAAGGATCAAAAATAAAATTGCTCACGTTAATTATTAACAATCTATTATATATGTATATATTTCTTTCTATTCAGAAAACATTACGATAATCTATTATTGTAAGAAAAAAAATTCACGAGACCAGACAATGACCACAACGACTGCAACGCAATCTAAATCATGTTTGTTAATACCTACCAATTGACCTTCGATGATCATCATAAATACCTTCGTCGATTTTTTCAGCGTCGACGGAATCGACGAAGGCATTGCAGAGCGTGACATCGGTGACGGGCACTCTAGTGCCAGATGCACCGCTCGTAACGACTCTTCATTACTACCCACATGCACCGGCTTTGGTGCAGATTAGTCAAACGGAGCCCACGCATTGTAGGTCGCAGGTAGGTCGCAGGAACCGTTTCTCGTGAGAGATTTATCAAGGCGAAAAATAATCATTTCCAAGGGCGTGCATAGAAAAGCGATCGTTTATCGATCGATATCTCGACTCCTTGTAGAACGATGAAGAGAGAAAGAGAAGGAAGAGAGAGGGTAGAGAGGAGAAGGAAGAGGTGGAGGAGGTGAAGAGGGAAGGGACAGGAACTCGTAATGCTAGGAATAATTATGCCACGCTCAGGGCGCGGTTCAGCAATTCGCATAACGTGGAAACGTTCTGGCACATTGTATTAATCATGCGCAAACCCGTCCACCGATTTGCATCGCTATCTGCATAGATATTGCGCTCGCTCCACCAGCACGGCGTGCTACGTAATATCCGTGTCGGTGCTGGAACGCGCGCTCTCTCTCTCTCTCTCTCTCTCTCCCTCTCCCTCTCTCTCTCTTCTTCTATCTCTCTCTCTCTCTCTCTCTCTCTATCTTCGTCTTTCTTTCTCTTTCGAATCGGATGCTGCATCGTCTTTTTTCCTTCTCTTTTTCTCTATCTCTCTCTTTCCTTGTTTAGCTATCCGTTCTCTTTTCCTATCTTTTTTTTTGTTTCCTCTCCTCCCCGCCAACCTATCGAGGTACTCCCTGTACTTACTTACTTACTTACTTACTTACTTACTTACTTACTTGCGATTTCTCCGTCCTCTTCCGCGTGATCATCGTTATCATAAATATCATCGATATTATTATCATTATCATCCATCGGCACTGTCAAGTGAACTTTTCCTATGCCCGTTTTCCTATGTCCCGTTTTCTTTCTGATTTTCTTATCTCGTTAGTTAAGTTAAAAACGACTCGTTCGTATTAATTATTTTTGAATTTCAAATTTGCTCTTTCGAGATCGTGGATATGTTAGAGATTCTTAATTTCTGATTAAAAAAGGTATCTACCATTTGCGTGAAAATATGTTATGAAATTGTAAAATTGTACGTATGTATTTGAATGTCTAAAGGAGTATGTTGTTTGTTCGAATCGTATCTAAGAATTATCGAGTACTTGAAACTTATGTTCGATCATATATATAATTATATATTACTATCCGAGATAGCTCTCTCTCCCTTTCTTTTTCTCTCTTTCTTTCTCTCTCTCTCTCTCTCTCTCTCTCTTTCTTTTTATCCGTTCAAATCGCAAAGCACGCCCGTATTTGACGATCGAAAATCCTGCGAAAAGCAGCGAAATGCATTTATTTCGAAGGCAACCTCGCCGGTATCCTGTCTGACACCACCACCAGAAGTGACGACGATCCATGCGATCGAGCCACCGCAAATGACACCGATGGTCGGCGTTCAGGATGCTTCGAATCAAACGGAAGCGCCAGAAGCTGAACAGGAACAGGATATGCCAATGGAGACTCAGGTGAAACAGGAGCAAAATCTTAGCCCGTGTCAGCTTCAATGTGCTAGTACCGCGACGAATCTTACGACGACCACCACTACTACAACGACGAATTTGACGAATCTGACGAACTTCGAGATCGTCGCGGCGACTCCAGAAAAGATGTGCAATGTCGTCAGGATAACGACGACAACGACCACGGTCAATCCTACCGTATGCGGTATAGTTGGCAAGGTCGATAAAGCAGAGAATACGATCATCAACATGGCTGATTGTCCAAAATATTCTATCACGAGGGAATGCAGAAGCGTCACGTCGATCGATAGAACGATCGAACGTGTCGTAAGTCGTCAAGATGATTTGGAGCAGGACGATGAAGAAGATTCGAGGCACGATCGTTCGACGATCAACGATGACGACGATTGCTACGATAATGGCAGATCACCGATATGCAGAGATGCAAGAACTGGTCCTAGAATCATCGAAATCACCGAGGAAAACTGTGACAGTTTCCATGAGAATTTAGAGTTCTTTGGTACGCGACGGGATCGTTCAACCGATCGTCTTCGAGATCGTCGGCGAAATTATGCGATCGATAACACGCAAGAGCAACATCAAAACCGTGAGGAGGAAAAGAAGATCATTGTAGAGGAGGTAAGAATGTTATGAAACATTTTATTACGTCTATTTTCTTTTTTCTTTTCTTTTTTTTTTCTTGTTTGTTTTTTTTCGGATAATTTCAGATCTGTTTCTAAAATATCGATCTGATATAAAAAATCTGTTTATAGAGTATCGATCTACGATTTAAAAAAAACTGTTCTCCATTTTCTCGAATGAAATTTGACAAAGAAGTTATATCCTGTTTACATCAATAACAAAGCATTATCTCTTTATTCATTTCATAACTATTGACTATATCATATGAGAAATCTATTGAAACGATCGATAAATAAAATTTCCGTTTTAGCCGATGATCGATCGTATCGCCGAAGAATCGAGAGGTACAGTAATACATCAAGTTATCGCCAAACTATCACCGGAAACGTCTTGTTGCGAGTCACAAAGGAAAGAGGAAATGTACCCGGAATCAAAGGTGATCGTCGATTCGACGTCGAATAACGGGCCGCAATCAATGACAACTACGACAACGACGACGACTACGTCGTCTCAGAATATATCCGATTGCGAGAGCTGCGGGAAAAATCGCGATGTCCGTCCTCAAATGGTTGTTCAACAAAATCCAGAAGTGAAGCCGCAAATCAGTGTGAAATCATTCGACATGCCTAACATCGATTGCGACGATCAAGAATTGGAAACTGTGGTTATCAAGCAGGAAGCCGACGATGGTTCCTTCGACGAACAAAATTCAAAATTTGAGAATGTATCGACAATAGAGAAGCCAAAGGATTCCTTGAAGAGACATTCGGTTGAACGATCTCACCCAGGTATCGAGAATGTTGTCGAGAAATTGAAGAAAAATGCGGCCGCCGCTATGCAAGAATCTTCCTGTCCATTACAAAAGATCGATGAATCTAAAGAACGTAACGTTGATAATTCGCGTTCTAGAAGGCACTCGGAAACGATGCCGAGAAAGTTGGAGAACGGTTTGAAGAAGCACATATTGAGATCCTGCGAAAATGAAAAATTGTTGAACGAGAAACGTGAGAATATCGAACGATCCGAGATCGAAGGATCTTCGGAGAAAGATTCTAGCAGTTTAGCTTATTCGAGAGAATATTTACATAACGACAATAATAACGACAGTAGGAGTAACAATAACAATATCAAGAATATAAACGACAAGGAATACGTCATCAGGAAAAGGTTAGCAGTTGCCTGCGAGTCGAAGGTCAAGGACGATGTATCTGAGGTAAATGCGAGTCCACCGAAAAAAAGTCGTTTAGATAGAGCATCGAATGCCAATGACGACACGGTTTTCTTATCGGCCACCATTGTCGACAATCAAAGCACGAAATTGAAATTGGCCATTTCGACGAAGCAAAAATCGAACGTCGATCTCAGCGGCTTAGAATTGCTCTCGAATAGTATCGAACAGTTCGAGCATTTGAAACCGGAGGCACAGAATTGTTCGACTCCGGATCTCGAGAAATCGCCTAGCAGAGGGAAACTGATCTCTCCTCAGGGTGAGAGCAATAATAATAACGTCGATAGTCCCCTCGGTTTGCTGTGTGCTCTGGCTGAGCAGAGATTCATGGAAGAGGTTGGAGACAAAGTGCCGAGAAAGCTCAATCTCGAGAGTTCAGAAGAAATATCGAGAGCCGGTAGGCTGTTGTTAAATCTTGGAAGGACGAGTTTGGAAAAGGAAAGAAAGAGATTGGATAAAAGAAAAAGTACGGATGGAGACGATGAGAATTATGAGAAATCGAAGAGACTTAAAGCCGATGTTGTATACGAGACAACAGACGATGGAAAGAATTCATCTATACGTTATTACGAGAAATGTGGTAAAAGTAGAAGACACGGAGCTAGATTTCAAGAAGACATGGTATTCAGAGTGAAAGAGAAACCTAACAGAAGTATAGATCTCGCTGAGGAAAATGGTATCGACGATGAGGAAACTTCTTCGTTGGCGGAAAGATTTGTACGAGAACGTGAACGCGTTCAAAAGTTCGATAAGGAAAATAACGATTTGGATTATGATAGAAAGAAGGAAACATTGGAACGTTACGATCAACAGTACGATCGATTTTGCGGAAATGATAGATGTTATCGTGATGTATCAAAGGAAGATGCCTTGACAGATTCCGAAACGGAAAACGACAAGACAGTTTGTTCTACTACGAGATTAGAGGAGGAAGTAGATGTAAATACGCAAAGAAGACAAGAATCCACAGAGGAGAGAAATAGGCAAGTAAAATTGGACGCAAAGACGAATGTTGGTAAAAAGTTACATACGGAGGAAGACGGGGATTGGCCAAATATGGATGCAATGGAGTTGGATATGAGAGTGAGATTGGCGGATATTCAAAGACAATACAGAGAAAAGCAAAAGGAACTATCGAGGTTGACGCCAAAGAAGGAGGACAAGAGAAGTCCAGGTAGACCGAGAAAGAAGAGCCATTCATCGAGGTAAAATATCGATAAATTAATTAATAATAATAATAATAATAATAATAATAATAATAATAATAATAATAAAATTTTAATAATTTTGATAAATACATATCGTCCATGTAAATATATATTTCAGTTCCGAACACGGTACTCTCTCTTCTCCTCCCATTTTGGAACCAGCAGTCCCTTGTCAAAAGTCTCCGTCTCATTCTCCTGACGGAGCTCCACCGCCATTAACGTCAGCAGTCTTGGCCATGCCAAGATGTAACGTGAATCTTGTGAAACTCGGTGAACCTCGAAGTCACATTAAACTTTTGGATAGTATACCGAGTATACCTATACCAGTACCACCGGTTGCTTCGCCTATCACGGTTTTACCAACGAGCAAGATACAATCAGAGGACGACGACAAGAGTACTGGAAGGGTAATCAATTATCGTTGATTTGAAAAATTTTACTTGAGAATGATCAGTCGAATTTTGTACGAGTAGCTTTTCTTTTATTTTCTTCTTCTTTTTTTTCTAATGTTTCTTTCCTTTTTCTTTCTTTTTTTTTTTTTTATTTTTTTTTATTTTTTTTTCGTCTTTTTTAGATGGAATACGATACATCTTCGCCAGCACCAACAGTAGCAAGTTCTAGTTCAGCATCAAAGAAACGTAAAGTTGGCCGTCCCAGAAAACTCATGTGCACGTCAGGGAATACAAGACACTTTACAGAAACTATTGTTGCGAAAAAACCAAAAAGCAAAAGTTCCCTCGTGGGTTATTTGTTGTCGCCGAAAAACAGGCATCTTCAAACCAAGGTAAGATCTATCGGAAGATTTTGATAAATTAAGAAATACGTCGACGATCATATCGCATTTTTCTCGGCGTAAAACGTGTTCCTCTCTTGCAGTACATCGCCAAGTCTGGTTATACTCCCCTACCCTTTAAAACCGGAATGTTGTCCTTAAAAGCTTCCTCCAAGAATCACAAATCAGTCAAGGCGAAGATGAAACCCGCGAAACAAACTCCGCTGCATAATAAAAATGTCATCAGTTCGATTATCGCGGAGAAGGCTAAACTAAGTCACGAAGTTAAGTTGGATAAACACAGTAATAAGGTAAGACCAAAACTGAAAGCCGAGGCAAAGGTAAAAACCTGGGAAGACGACGAGAGTACTGTCGTTGAAAATATATCGTCGGATACCATGAGCCAGGAAATTCTTGAGGTAATCACGTTCAGTATTATTATTATTATTATTATTATTATTATTATTATTATTATTATTATTATTATTATTATCATTATCATCGTCGTCGTCATCATCATTATTATTAAACGTGAACCTTCATATTGGTTTAAGCGAGAAAATTTTATTGAAAATATTTATTCATTGAAATATTTTGGACGTATATTTAAAGATAATTCCTGTTACAGGAAAAAAATGTTGAACAACCAGAGGAGGAAGAGGGGGAGGAGGAAGTCGAGAGAGAGATGGAAAGGAATAAGCACGATAAATCGAAGAAGAAGAAACAAAAGTCTATCTCGTCGTCCCCGAGTCGACATAAATCGAGCGATCGCGATAAGAAGGAATCTAAACGTCGAAAATCATCCGATTGTAAAGATTGTAAGGAATGTGCGAAGGTTGCTAAAGCGGAAAGAACAGAAAGCATTATTAATAGATGTAAGCTAACGTCGGCTCACTTGGCCATTGATCAGTTAAGAGTTCTGACGGCTATGGGTGGTCTCTTTTATGCCGGAAGACTTAGCGCTGTTCGAGCTCCAGATGTTTACGCTATTACTCTTGATGGCGAACGAGGGAATAGACCTCATATTCATTCAAGGGAAGAGATTTTACGGGACGCGGTAAAATATCATTTTATTTCAAAAAATTATTTTATTTAGACCGATATACCATGTCCAATTTGAAATAATTATTTATTATAGATCGTAGAGGTATGTCCAAGTTCAACGAAAGAATTACCACCCGGTACGAGACTTTGTGCTTATTGGAGCGAGCAATATAGATGTCTTTATCCAGGAACATCGGTCGAACCTACCGAACCAGATCCCAAACTCGATGAGAAATTTGTCAGCGTTGAATTCGATGATGGCGATAGCGGTAGAATAGCTTTGGATGACATCAGATTACTTCAGCCTGATTATCCTGTTGTTGGTACGTAATTATTCATGATTTTACATTATAAATATTTGTTAATGTAAATCAAATTTATTCAATAGTTTATGTCCCTTTACAGAATACGATCCAAATCCTCTTTTATCTTTGGGTAAACGTCGTCGACAAACCTCGGTTTCGATAGAAGATAAAAGATCGTCCATAAATACTATATCTGGTACAACATCGAATAGTTTAACATCTACGGTTTCTTCCACAACTTCCTCTCACATTTCCTCTTTCGATGGAGCCTCGATAGAACGGCACAAAACGGACGATATCAGTGCAAAGGCATTGGATGATTATCGTGAACGTAAGCGTTTGAAGAAGAGGAGAAAGGATAAATTGAAGAGACAGCACGAGGCTCAAGAAGGAAAGAAGAAACATAAGAGGCACAAGGGTTGCGAAGAGCATAGAAAGCACAAACATAGGAAACATAGAAAGCATAAGCATAAACATAGCCATCATTGCAATCATAGCGAAGGAAGTCATATAAGGTTTGTGTTAAAATAAAATTAAAATAATGTAATAATGTATTATGAAATAAATGTTCATTAATCTAATAACTTCGATGTTTCTTAGTAGCGGGGAAAGTTGTTGTGGTCAAAAAAGTGAAGATGAACCAAATAAAGAGACTCCGGCAAAGGTTGAAGAGGAAGAGGAAGAGGAAGAAGACGAGGAAGAGGAGGAAGAGGAAAGTGAAGAAATGACTGTTTTGGAAGAAGAACCTGAACCAGTTCCTGAACCAATTGAAGTTATAGTAAGGGAGGAAAAGATAGAAAAGCCGAAAAAATCTGATAAAAAAGGGAAAGTACGAGAGAGACAGGAGTCGGTGGAAAGTCGAAGTAAAATGGCTGCATTCTTGCCTGCGAGACAATTATGGGGATGGGCTGGTAGGGGTTATAGGAGACCTGGTGCAAAAGGAAGAGCTAAGAAACAATTTTTCCGAGCCATTCAAAGGGGAAACGAAACTATTCAGATAGGTGATAGTGCAGTTTTCCTTTCTACTGGTAGACCAGATAGACCATACATAGGACGTATAGAGTCTATGTGGGAAACATCAAGTTCTAATATGATAGTTAAAGTTAAGTGGTTCTATCATCCTGAAGAGACAGTAGGATGTCCAACCAATCTAAAGTATCCGGTAAGATATATTTATTTTATATTATATAAAAATAATTTTACATTTATATTTTTTACATTCCAAAATATATAATATTAAAAAATCTCTCATAATCAAAATTTTTCAAATATATTTCGTAATATTATAAATATAGGGTGCTCTATTCGAATCCCCTCATATGGATGAAAATGATGTACAAACTATTTCGCACAAATGCGAAGTATTACCGTTGGACGAATATACAGAAAAACTGGGAAAAGAACCTCATAGATATCTTACCATCTATGATAACAACGATATCTACTATTTGGCCGGATATTATGATCCGACGACGTACCTTCTATCTATGCAACCTGGGGTTGTTTGAGAACAGCTAAAGCTGACGATTAAGTTGACTGGTGTCACTTAATCGTAGTCAGCCACAAATTTTGCGAAATTCAATTATAAATAGCTGTTGTTAAACACTTAACGCAGCTTTTAAACTTGTCGCTGTTGTATAGCGACATGGAAGAAGAAGAAGAAGAAGAAGAAGCAGAAGAAGAAGAAGAAGAAGAAGAGGAAGAAGAAGAAGAGAAAAAGAAATATGATACAGAAACACTGAATTTAGGAATCATGTTCCTAATACAGAGATCATAATGCAATAAGGGATAGAAAGCAATTTATTGTTTTTCTTTCTTATTGTATGTCTTCTTCATGTGTTTATTAATGAAAATGGTGTTGAACAGAGGTTAAATTTATCATATAAGAATTTGCGCAAGAAGTCTGAAATAGTCTGCTGTGCAGAATCTTTTGCGATAAATCTTATTCACTGACTTTGCGAATTGGATACCGTTGTCGCAGGTAACCAAGGAATTATAATAATTTAATGCAAGGCACAAGCGCATTGTATTTGAAAACAATTTTTCCCGTAATCTTTGCACATTAATATTAGCAAGTTTTATCACAAAATATTCACGAAGTGCACACTATTTTGAGCACACCTTAACGTATTACGACAAACGATTAACGAATTGGTATTATTGAATAGAAATTCATAGCTTCGTATTATTCCAAAAAAGAAAAAAAAAATGCATTCAGATCTTTCTT